CTTTGATGCTCCCTTATTAAATATTAAATAAAATCTTATCTAGACTGCCGCGAACATTGCGTATTAAACTACAACCTTTCCTCAATTCCACGCTCGAAATTCAAGCGCAGGTTAGGAGACCACGGCGAGGACTACTATGAGGTCGAATATTCGATTGATATTACTTATTACTCGGCAGAGATGAAATTTGAACTTGTCTGTCAAGGTATGTAATATCGTAGTTTTCCATCCTCTAGTCTATTTCATGCGCTTAAAAAACGAACGAAAGAACACTCTTGGAAGCGTGTATCATCACACTAACTCAATTCCTTCAATCGGCGTCAATAGGGGAGAAATACGGAAGCGTCACGGCGAAGTGGCTCGAGTAGCAATTATTTCCTCAGATCGCAAGATTGATACTTCCACTCCCTATACCAAACAACAACAACAACAATCGGCAAGTAGGGCCGTTTGTCCCAATCGATAAATTCCAACGCCTTTTATCTGTCTTCTTTTTAGTGATTCCCTGTGTCTATCTTATGTCAATTTTGTCCATCATGTGTTTCTTGTTATCCCTGCACTTACTAGATATATGAATATCAAGAAACATGAATTCCAATCTCTCCTTTCCGCTACCATTCTACTTCATCCCGCCCTTCTTTTTCTTCACAGTAACACAAATATCGATCGTGCCCTTTTCATTTACACCATTCGAGTGCGCGTTTCAATTTGTTAGTACTGCTTGACGAATTAGTTTATACAAATACGAACTTGCATATCATTTTCCCTGCATTCGCATATCAATTTCTAACTACACAGCTTTCTCAGTCTTAATCATTTTTGAAACATTTCGATATATAGAATGGCTGTGGGCATTGGACTTCCCAAAAACCTCCCCAATCATAAAATTAATTAGCCTGCATTCTCTATCCAATAAATACCAAACTATGTACCTACCAGGATGAACCCAGAGAAAACGAAACATGAAAGATTTGTCCATATGTGAACTGTAAAATGTAGCCAGTTCATAATTGTAGCTGAGGGTCGCAGATGCACCAGATATTACATAGGTGAGTTTAAGTATAACCAGAAAGATGTACAGCTTATATATATCGAAAAACGCAGATGATGGAGGAGAGTTGAAAAATAAAATAGAATAAAAATAGGGAAAACCTGGCAGAAACGATTACTTGGCGATAGTAAGAGAGATATATAGCAGCGGGGTTCGACAGTATCATCCATCCATGGCGTGAATCATCCCTCGAAACTCAATTTTGAATCTCAGATTCCTTCCACCCGCCGCCATCACCAGCAGCAGTAGCTCCTCCTCCGCCTCCTCCTACAATTCTGCCACCTTCAGCCCTCTTTACACGACACCACAATCCGACATTTGAGTCCAAGATAAAGGTATAAATAACCCAGACCCAGCTACGATGCGATGGGAGAGGTTCATAAAATTCCTTGGCAATATTGTGTAGAGCATACAGTCTGGTCCATGGCACGGCTGGAAAATCATGATGTTCGTTGTGCAGACCGACATTGTAAGTTAGGAGGTTCAAAGGACCGTAGTACGAATATGTTTCTGGTGGGGTGAGGTTCGCCAGTGGGGATGAAGCATCTCCTGCCGGCTTATCCGCCTCTTGGTTATCACTCTTCTGTCGCCGCAGTTCCTCGATCGATTCGGTTCCTGCGCCAGTTTTTGAGAAAAAATAGTGTTCCGCTATAAAGTGGCCGGCGCAAGGATGGAGGGAGCCGGCGAGGAAGGAGCTGAGGATGAGGTAGTAAATAGACTGGGGGGAAGAATTGCAGAATTTGTACAGGCAAAAGTCGAAGACGAATTGAACTATGATGTTTAGCAGGTGGATTGAGGTGAAGGGCGGGGAGTAGATGAACATGGGCCGCAGGGCGTAGAAGAGGATTTGGAAGGTACAGAAGAAGGCTTTCCCAAGGACCGAATCTAGGAAGAAGGCTTCAAGTGCGGTTGGGAGGTCGGTGTCTAGTGAGGCTACGCCGAGGGATTTATGATGAGTTAAATGGTAGGGCTGGATTTGGTGGTTAGTAATTTGGTGGGAAAAGGATTTGGAGTTTGTGAAATACGAATAGATGTGGTTGAACGTACCCTGAAAGCAGCACTATAGGGTATACCGATTGGAAGAT